AGTATTATTGAAGCTCAATCAACTTGCCTTTTCTGTTTAGGCTGTCATTATGCTACTAACAAAAGTTGCCCAGAACAGTCTCGACAAAGATCAATTAAAATACTCATGTCACAAGATAATATTTCATACCAAGAAGCATCCCAAAGATTTCCCTCAGTGAAAAGATCCTATGCGGATGTAACCCAATCTCCTCTATCGAGGCATCCCCATATTCAGCACACACAAACATCTCCTAACAAACATCCAACAGGTACAACTTCATATCGGAAAACTGTATTCCTTCCCCCAAGCTCTAGAACCCCTTTGAGCCCGGGATATGATCGATTAGCCCATCAGGCTATTATTGAAAACTGCCCCTCTTTCCTCCCAAATGGCTGCGCTCTCAATAATGACAATGCACCAATAGAAATCTCCCCAAATGATAACTTGTTAGAAACCCTCTTAACATTTGTTGTAAGCCTTCTAAATAGATTTGATGACATCCCAGTACCGACCAACGTTGCGCAAAAAATCAATCAACTTCACAAATTTCTCACTAATAACAAAAATGGCGACGATAATTCAATGGAACTGCAGTAGCATTAATACCAAAACTCATGAACTAAATTATTTTATAAATAAATTCTCCCCATCTCTCTTTGCCTTATCGGAGACATGGTTGGTGCCTGGTGCACTCTATGGCATATCCGGGTACTCCTGCCTCCGGGATGACAGGAGGGACGGTTATGGAGGGAGTGCATTGCTGGTCAGCTACTCCCTCCCTTTTAATAAAATCAACTTACCACCCCACAGTGACAGCATTAACGCAGTGGCTGTGAGACTCTTAAACATAACATTTTTATCAATATACATTCCTCCCCAATCTTCACCTAATATTGTTATCCCAGAATTAATAGCCATTATTATGACACTTCCTCCTCCGGTAGTAATTATGGGAGACTTTAATGCACATCATGTGGTATGGGGTTCATATTCAAATGATTCCCTCGGTTGCCAACTTATTGACTTATTAGATGAGAGAGATCTTTGTCTACTAAACGATGGAAGCCCCACTAGAAGGAACCGCCCTAATCAAAACCCATCAGCAGTGGATATCACAGTTTGTTCTCCTTCACTGGCATCGAATATATCATGGACCGTATTAAGTAGTACACACGGCAGTGATCATTTCCCAATTTTAATTTCGACATTAGATAGTCCCCCTTCTACTAACCGGCCACCCCCCTTATTACAATTTAGACTTCACAAGGCAAATTGGTCAGCTTATTCTGAGACATTGGACAGTAATGTAGATAGCCTTCCAAAAGTAACGTCTGAAAATGGTACCAAAGCTTATGACGCGTTAGTGGAATACTTAATTGACGCCGCACATATAAACATCCCCAAAAAAAATTGCACCCAAAAAAAAATATCTCCTCCATGGTGGGACTCTGAATGTTCAGAGGCTATCAAAAGACGGAAACAAGCCGAAAAAAAATACAATCATTCCATGTCCATGGAAAACTTCCTTTCGTTTCAACGAATTGCGGCTCAAACTAAAAAATTAATCAAACAAAAAAAAAGAACAGGATGGAATAAATTCTGCGAATCTTTGTCACCTGGTACCCCTTCAGCAATAGTCTGGAATCAACTTAAAAGATTCCGTAGAGCTAACAACCGTCGTAACTTGACTGCCAACGATTCCTCAAGCTGGATTGAAGCGTTTGCTGATAAATTAGCTCCTTCATCTGTCCCAAATGCTGACTGCCTTCCCATCAACCCCAATATCCACTTTCCCTCCACCGACATCATAGACGGAGCTTTTACCTTTGAAGAACTTCAAAAAGCGCTTTCTGGCCTTAATGATACATCTCCAGGTCTAGATGGAATTCCATACTCCTTTTTAATTAGAGCCCCAGATAAATTAAAACAATATTTCCTAAAATTAATTAACCTTTTTTATGATAAAGCTCTCATCCCTGATCAATGGACAAAACAGATTGTGATTCCAATACTAAAACCGGGTAGGAACCCATCCGACCACTCCTCTTATAGGCCTATAGCCCTTTCGTCGGTTCTCTTAAAAGTCGTCGAGCATATAATGAAAAATCGCCTAGAGTGGTTTGTAGAAAGACATGACATTCTTGCTAAATCACAGTTCGGTTTTAGAAAAGGATATAGCACTTTAGACAGTCTCAGTACTCTTACAACAGACATCCGTTTAGCGTTAGTGAAAAAAGAATACCTAATTGGAGTATTCCTGGATATATCGTCTGCATATGACAACGTCCTTATTCCGGTGCTCAGGCAGAAAATGCAACATCTGAACATCCCAGTGAAGTTGGTTCGATTCATTTGCAACCTGATAACGTCCAGGTCTATTTTGATAAGGTCTCAAAACCATACATTGGCTAGGACTGTATGGAAAGGCCTACCACAAGGATCGGTTCTTAGCCCCATACTTTACAGTTTATACACTTTCGATATGGAACTTTCGGTGAACCCCTTCTGCCAGATTTTACAATACGCTGATGACGTAGCCCTTTACGTCACAGTGAAATCAATACCGGAGGCTACTTCACGACTTAACTCTGCTCTATCATATCTCGGTGATTGGCTGTCTGACCATGGACTATCCGTCTCCACACCAAAATGTAGCACCGTAATCTTTACAAAGAAACGAAACATCCCTGCTCCGAACATCAAATTTCAGGACTTCACAATAGAAATTAGGCCTTCAGTAAAGTTCTTAGGGATGATACTTGACTCTAGACTCACGGGTACTGAGCATTTCAATAATATTGCCAGTAAGGCAGAAAAGGGCGTAAACGTTTTGCGAGCTTTGTCTGGCGTCTGGTGGGGCGCACACCCAGTAACTCAAAGACTGCTTTATAACGCAATAATTCGTAGTCACTTTGACTATGGCTCATTTCTCCTTGACCCATGCAATAAAACAGCTCTGGATAAAATCAACAAAATCCAATCGAAGTGCTTACGAATTATACTAGGGGCAATGAAATCCTCCCCCATCAATGCCCTTCAAATAGAAGGGGGCGATCCCCCACTTTTTCTGCGTAGACAATACCTCAGTGACAGATTTCTCCTTAAGGTTTTACAAAATGAAAATCACCCATTGTTACCTTCTTTAGACAAGCTGACCCATTTATCAAATATAAATTCTAATTCTTCTCATAAAGTACCCTGTATAGTTACTAGTTATTATAAGTTCCACCGCCCATCCATTTCCATTGAAAAATTTCCTTGCAACCCTTTGTTTTTAAACAGCTTCGAGTCTTTAGTTTTCGATCCGCCCATCTCACTTAATCTGGGTATTGAAAAACAGTCACCCAGTTCAAATAAATCCTTCAATGAGGTAATGTGTAAAAACTGGCCGCATTGGCTTCAAATATTTACGGATGCATCCAAGATTTCAGATACTGAGAGTGTTGGAGCGGCAGTATGGATACCCAAGTATAAGATAGTCCTGAATTTTAAAATACCACCACCCTCATCAGTCTTTACGGGTGAAGCAATCGCAATATTGGAGGCAATTTTATATTGTGAATCACACAATTTAAACCGCTCAATCATCCTATCCGATTCTCTTAGCTGCCTTCAGGCAATATCCTCCAATCCCATGCGGTCCAAATCTCGCTTCCCAATTATCCTCAAAATTAGAGAAGCTTTACTTAGATGTAAAGTGAAAGAAATAGAACTGATGCTGAGCTGGATCCCAGGTCACAGTGGCATACACGGCAATGAAACTGCTGATTCGTGTGCCAGGAATGCAATCTCCACTGGTTGTACTAGTCATTCCGAACTTACATATAACGATCTCATCCCCCTCCTTCATTCTCATCTATCGCAATCATGGGAGACGCATTGGACAAACACTAAAAATAAGAGTGGAAAGTACTACTTTGACATCCAACCAACTATTCCAACAAAACCTTGGTTCATAAAACAGAAACATACTCCCAAACAGGTTGTATCAGTGTTATGCCGTCTCCGCATTGGACACGCAAGCTTACCAGTTCATTTGGCCAAAATTAATGTTAAGGATAATCCCCTTTGTGAGTGCGGCCTAGATGAGGGATCTGTAGAACACACACTATTTGACTGCCCCAAACTCTTGTATTCCCTGTATGATGTACTCCCACAAGAAGTTCCTCGCCCCATTAATATTAAAAATGTGCTTCAACTGGTTAATACACCCTGTTTAAAAACACTAATTAAATTTATCTTAAGTAATAAGTTAAAATTATAATGAACCATTCCTTATTTCCCCCTTACTAAAATGTTATGCCTGTATATGTGTTGTGTTGTGTAACGTGATGCATGCGATAAAATGTGTTTTGTTTCAGGTTCGTTATCGACATAGAAAGTGTATAATTATTTATTTAAATATTAGAATCTCTTTTCCAAATTAATTATGTATAGAATCCCTATCGTGTAGTGGCTATCCACGTGAAATTGGCGGAATTGTGCGAAAAGCGCAGATGGGCCATCAATAAAAGAAGAAGAAGAAGAAGAAGTATATCGTAGGTAGTTTGAAATCAACTAGAGAAATTTGACATATTGTAGTAACACCTCACGTGAAGTATATTTATTACATACCTACATGTATTTCATTATATTCAGTAATCGTTTTGTAGATCAGGCCTCTAAATTACTGCTTACAATACCATCGTGTCCTGCCGATCGATTCTGTTTAATGTATTTTTGTTTCGTAATATATGTAGTGGATTTGTTGTAGTTTGAAAAGTCGTTACATTTGTTGACTGTCAACTCGAAGAAACGAATAGTTAGTAGTTTAAAATAAACTAAAGAAATTTGATGTATCATAGTAAGGTGACGTGCATGATGTTTGTTTGTAAAACAGATTCCAGATTAGGTAGTGCTATTCGACAGTGGAAACGCTTTGCAAACCACCACTACTTTAGTATGAAAGCAAATCTAGTCTATGATTTCCTCGAGGAATATTAATAAATTATAATTTTTAATTGTATTAAAAATCAGATTGTTAATAGTAACTATTTGTCTTATAGCAATCTTAAATACAATTACATCATCTGTTGTAATTACCATAGAATTAAATGTATGTGGAAGATTTTTTACATATTGCAAGTTAAAACATAATTAATAATATATTTTAAAAATTCATTGACACTTGATTGCAAACATCAATATTAAATCAGTCAACAAGTAATTTATCAATACCAATACACACTTTTGCACTTTTATGAACCAGTCGTTACAAAACTGTTCGATGACATTTGACCCAAACCCATCTGTATTCTCTGCATATGAACTTCTACATTATTTAGAAATAGTTTTTGGTGATGTGGCTTTAATTTCATTTTTATTCTGTCCATTGACCCTTGTAATATACTTAATTCATAAGCATTTTGATCGGAATCCGATAAACTTTTCACTTGTAACATTAATGCTGTAAGGTCTGTAATTAGTTCAATAAGTGTTTCATCTTTTACTGCACCATTATTATTCTTTTCTACTAATAATGTGGCTTCGTCATTACATTTTTCCCTTAAATGCGACGGAGCAAGCATTGCTGCTAAACTAGGGCCTGGTGCAATTTGTTGGCAGTAACCTTGAATTTCATTAATATAATCTTGTAAATCCATATTCATCCTTTCCAGATCTATCACTACAGATGCATATTTTCTTTCAAAATCTTCTGGAAATTTTTGACCAAAACATTTGCGTTTTTCAGCCTCACTATTATATTCTTTCAATCTATTAATTTTGCCCCTTTTTGCATGCAATATTTTAGTTAGTCTAACAATTAATTCCATAAAAGCTAATGGATAATTGCTATTTGCAGACTCTAAATGTTTTTTTATATCAGCACACCCAATTAAAGGATCTCCCTTAGTATTGTTATTCATATGTGAATATGGTTGGCAAATGTTATAGATATCATGAACTACTTGACGTGGTCTGAATTTTTGAGTGATGCTAGAAAGACATATGGTATCAGGCGGATCATTAGACAGCACTTCAAAGTCTGGCACAGAGTGTGTACCTAACTTAGGCCTCTCAAATGATATTCTGTATGTATTATTGGAAGTGTCAACAGCATCAATGCAGCCAGTAAACAATCCATCTTGTGGTTTTCTTAATCTAGCTGTTACTTTAGTACCCACTACTAATTGCATGGGGATTTCATTAGGCAAGTCTTTTAGAGATATATCTGCTGTTTTTCTTTGTTGGATATACCTAATCAACTTTCTTTTTCTTTCAAGCTCTTTCCTTTCTTCAGCAAAGAATGCCTGTGAACATCTTCTAGGTTTGCCCATCATTCTTCTTATTTTAGCCCACTGCACTTGAGTCAATTTACGATGAGCAAGTTGTGGAAACGATTCTTTTAAGCAAATCATAAAGTCATTTTCTCCATCAAAAAGAGCCTTGTCAATATTGCTATAGAAATACTCAAAACAAACCCATTTATGAGCTTTTGGTAATTTAAGCAAGTTTCTAAGCCTCATACCAATTCGTTGTCCAGACTTCCGATCTGGTGAGTGGTTGCCAACATTATCAGATTTGTCTTCATATCTATCAACATTCCTTTGAACTTTTGATGGTGACTTTTGCTTTTTCGCACTTGATGGTTTACTTGGTGTACGTGATATAATTTTTGGAGTTCTCTTCGGAGACTGTCTTGGTGGTGACGTATTTACAAAATCATCCACAAATATAAATTTGTTTTTTTTCCTTATCCGAGCAGGCATACCTCTAGCATTCAGCTTCTGGACTGGTTCACTAGGTGCAGGTTTTGGCGGCAACTTGGTGCCAACTCTGTGAAGGCCAAGTGCAGCTGGACCAAAAGCTGGTAGTTCCTCCTCCTCTTCCGGTAAATCCATTTCCATTGGTTCATCTTTGACTCTATGGTGTGAATGTAACGCATAGCTTTCTCCATCTAACTCTCCTGAAGAGATATAAAAGTAAACTGTGTCAAACAAGTAAAAAAGTACAATATTACTTCAAAATTTCAAGTGACGGTTCGTAAGTAGAAAGCTAGATGACATTTAACGATAATAATTACAGTTTCAGAAATAAATAAGTAACGAATCAGTCATCACAAATTCAAATTTCGATAAATAACATTGACAATTCGTCTGCAAATTTGAATTTTTTCAAATTTTGAACCAAGCGTTTTACATCAAATTCGAAACTGTACGCGTAAAAGCTACGTTTTTCAAACACAATTTTATCGAATAGGTGAGTTTATGAGAAGTTTCACACATTCAGGTACAAGAATTTATAGGAATATAATGTTTATTATAATTTCTACTAAAACTTACTTTCAGATTTATCCGCCATGTTGATGTGATAAAAAAAATCTGATTTGTTTCAATTTGAAGAGGAGAGCGCCAAGATATTTTGGCGTTCGGATACATTACTAAATAGCATACCATAGAGAATATCCGTCGAAGGTAGGAATTCATTGCACGATAGCATTGGCAAAAACTATCGATATATCAAAATATCGATATTTTTTTAAATATCGATATTTTTCCCGCGATGTATTGGCTTTCGATATTTATTTTCAGATATCACATTCGTATCATAATCGATATATTTATTAAGTTCTGCTGTCTGCTCACACGTTGCGACACGTATTTCTTAAATTTAAAAAAAGAAGTAGGCAGTAGTCTGTATGAGTTTAGAAATTACAGTCTATATACTGCTTGTCTTTTTTGTTTCTTTATGACAATGATACTGTTTGTTGGTTTGGTTGGTATCACTGAGAGTACTCCTGATGTTAATATCAGATAAATACTGATTTGTTTGAATAATGTAATTTTTGTTTTGTTGTTGATGTTGTTTTCTTGGCTTTAATAAAAAAAAGCCAGGTGTTTGTTTGCTTTAAAATTTCGAATACTTTGTCAATTTTTATAGATAATCGCTTATTGCGCAAAAATATATATATCAATATATTATTGACAATATTTATCGACACATTTGAAAAATATCGATGCGATATATATCGTTATTTTTTCCCATTTGCACGTCCCTATTGCGCGATACTACAGGCAAGTTGACGTGACTCACGGTCAAAACAAAGAACAAGGGAATATTACGTATTATTCCCACGCCACACATGTGCTGAGTTATTCATGTACTTACACTGATTTCATACAGCGAAAGAAGAAAGTGGATATGCCTCAAATCCCGAGATTAATTTAAAGAGCAGAAAAAATCACGTGATTTTTTAAATAAAAAGTTATTTACTTTTACACAATTTGCACGCACGACGTTGCCAAACTTACATCAATGACATCGGATGTCCAAAGTTGCAAAATTTGTATTGTAAATAAATGTAAACTAATAAAAATTTTATGTTAATTATCTTTATTTTATTTGTCTATCTCTGACGTTGTTATTATTATTTAGTTGTAAGATTGTTGGCCACACGGGATTGTCCATTAGAAATCCCGGGAAGGTCCACATTATCAACATTTCGATGCAAGTACATAAATAACTCTACCTAATTCCGACCTCTGGTTGTAAGTTACCTTTTGTACAAATATAATAATACAGTTTACTATAGTTAGTTAAGTTGGGTTAGAACCACTACAGTTTACTAAAGTGGAATAAAATATCAAAAATTTGATGGGTTTTTTCCACAGAGCCTACGTTTCTATTCGCGTCGTCTATTCGCCATTTACCCTATGAAAGACTATATTTTCTTGTTTTCAGACTATAAAGATTATGATAATTTTAATTTTGTACATATTTTGGAAACTATTGATATTGTGCCATTGTGTAAATTCCGCTTCTGATATTTCTGCATGCTTTGATGAATGGGAAGATTTTTCTCAAAATAATTTTAAAATAATAGATGCAACAGAAGGAAGTATACTGCATCTTAGTTGCAATTACTGGTAATTTAATGCAACCTAATTCAACTAGTACTTCGATAGAAATACTTGCCACGCTTCGTTGGTCAAACATAACTTATCCAAAGTCCGAAAAAATCGTCTCTTTTTATAAAATTTTTACATTTAGCAAATCATGTTCTTAAATCCCAAAATTTTCTTCTGAATCATAAGGTTTACTAATAAACGTGCTTTTACGGTATACGGTATATCTTTAATTAGAATACTTATATGTATCTTATGTTTTGATCGAAATTAATTTTATTATTGCAGTAATGCCAATGAAAGTAATAATGAAATTACATACTGGTTTTATAGAAAAAGAGGCAATAACAAAACGAAACAGATTGTATTACTAAATGATAAGAAGAATAAAATACATAAATACTCGGTATCATTGCCTAATTATACATTGAACATTAAGGATTTCGGGCAAAATGATTCCGGGTTATACAAATGTCGATATAATAATGAAGACAAAGATGTGTTTCAATATTTAATAGATAGTAAGGAACATTTTGTCTACACAATGCGTCTCTCTTGTCATGTGTAATTTGGCAATTTATTTTTAGTCTGTTTTGCAGTTTTATTTAGAGTAGGCATTTTCCATTAATACAAGTACATATAACTTAAGATATTAATGTTGCAGATATAATATATTTTTACGCGGAATACTCATAAGTAACCATACTTTTAAATGGTTTTATCGCGTGTATTTTGTTTTAAATTTGAATTTTTAAATGTAAAGAATCGAAGAAGCAGCTTGCTGTCTGCGTTTTCCTATCATCTCTATAAAAACGAAAGTGATTATTTTGCCTGTTACACTTTTACGGCCTTACTGATGAATAAAAAGTAACTTTCAATGGTATAGTTACACAGTGTTAATCCTATTAATGATGATTATAAGGTGTTTTAGCGAGTGGTGTAAAACCTGTTATTGGTACAAAGAAACAGTGGGAAAAATTCGAGCGTTGGAAGATTCAACCTATCAATGAGTTATTAAAAAGGTCTCAAGAGGCATCATTTACTTTAATCAGAAATGTAAATAAAATACAATTTCAAGTATTTATGTTTTGGGAAAAATGGGGCCCATGCAAAGCTAAATCCTACGGACAGCGTGAAGGCAAACAGCGAAAATTAGGAAAATGTAGACTCCACCCCACTACGACGTTGAATAATGTTAGTAAAGGCCTTATTACACTATCCGATTTCTAGGGCCCGACCGATCGAGTTGGCGTGTCCCCTAGTTAGTGCGGAACTTCTTACACTACCCTATAAATGAGGAAGTATTTAAAAAAATACATTAGTTCCCGAAATCAAACTGGATGTCGCTACGGTACGTTCTTGATTTATCCATGACAACCCTTCCGGTTTTCTTTTATGTTTAAAAGTAAATTCATTTTCAAAACTCAGTTAACAACTCATATTCTATTTGTACTTTTTCGTATTTGTATTGATATCTAAGTTTCGAACCTTTCAAATTTCAGTTTTTTAATATGTTAGTTAAAAGGAACGAAAATGAATGTCATTGGTCCATTCATTTTCTGCAAAAATCATCTTTTGCTAGAGTCGCCATCTAGTGGAGATGCTTTTTAGTGCTTTCGTTTTTGTAAATACTTCCTCATTGCACTCTAACTCAGTTTACCATAGATTATCGTCATATTTGTTACCAGTGATTCTTTTTTATAAATGAAATGTATATTTTAAACACGTTTTATAATCCCATTAACATATTCATTTGTTGATACTAGTATAGCTTACGGTAGCTATAATATGTAGTAAAATCTCATTAAAAATTACTTTATATACTGTATTATCTTTAAAATTAACGAGCTTCTTATTTATAACCTTATACACTAATATAAAGTGAACATAAAAGTCGAACTCAACGCGATGGTTGAGCATATTAAAAAACTATGTATTGAGCTCCATTACTCCCTAACCCTTATTGCACTATCCTTAAGGGTAAGGGACCCCAGAAATTGAATAGTGTTAAAATCTTTCCATAATATTTATACGAAGGCTTAGACTTTTAACTTAACTTGAAAAAGAAATGAATCTGGGTTGTCTAAATTTATGTAAGTATAAGTATCATTTATTTCAGCTTTTCAGGAAGTTGGCTCACTTTGGTATTACTTTAAATGTTAGCACTATCAGTACTTTTACAGCCAGTTACACAAACTTCCATTAAAATTTTCATTAGTTTAAAGCAACATTACCCATACAAATTAGACATTTATTAGTGCTTATAAACGCGTCATTAAACCTTAATGGACGTTTGTGCAAATGATCATTAGTTATCATAGTTTTAAATAAATATTATTGTTTTAACATTTTTATTGTAGCAGGTTGAAAAGTTTTCCACCAATAATAATGTTGCTTTATATTATTTAATGGATAATTACGATGTCTCTTGTCGATCTGAAAAACTTAATGAGACATTTCCTTTATTAAGCAGACTTGTTAGACAAATACCAGATTACGAAATGATTCGGACTTGTTCTCTAAACAACTGTAAGTAATGTGTGTATGACTATGGAAAGTAAAAAAAACTATCATTCTTCGCAGGTGTAGGTAGATCAATTGTTGATATTCTAGTGACAAGGTGCGCTCATTTTTGCTTTACACAGTCAACGATTAAGTCATGCTCACGCGGTGCCTCCGTCTTTCATGTCTTGAATACGCGGTCTCTTTAAATTATAACTGAACGGCCCACCTCATACCATAGATTGCTCACGAAGAGCCCTTCATGCATGACCTATACCCGATAGCGAGCTGAGCGATCGACGTCGTCGTTTATGCATGGCAATGTTCGAATTGGAATGCGAAGCGACAGAGATAAACATATACTTTTATCTTACGAAGATAGTGCGCTCTTTTCGGTTCTCGTTACTGTTTGGATAAAACTATTAGAAATATTACTTAAACTAGAGATGCGCCGAATATTTGTTTGGTATTCAGTATTCAATTTATTCGATATCTTTTTCACTATTTGTATTGGCCGAATTATTCGGTTTTGGTGCCGAATATATTCGGGTCGAGTATTTTCAGTTTTTTTTCGCAACGACACGTTTTAGAACTAAAAGACAAAACTCCTTATGTAAGATTTATGTTATATTATATAAGTCAAAGAAATCCTATGAAAATTTGTTTTCAATAAAGCTAATAAAATAAAGCAATCGAACTTCAATTCAAGATATATTTTCAAACCTGTTTACGCGGCAAAACAATGAAATGGTAAACCGAATAATTCAGTCGAATATCCAGTTCGGTAAAAGTTAAAGGTACCGAACCTTTAACCAATTCAATTCATTTTATAAGTATTGACATTTTGTTAAGAAGTTTCAGATCTCGAATCTATCTATACTTATGAATGAATCGCCGAACGTCTCTACCAAATCGGATGATCCTCTTTTTTTTGTTTGTTTCTTATTGTCAGAACAAGTTTGTTTAATTCGGCGATTCAGCTAGTATAGTGGTAAATAGACCTATAAAATAGATAAAAAAGCTCCTTTTAATAATTTTCATTTCATTCAATTTGCCTATCGCATTTTTAGTATCTTTTTCTACAAAATTGACGACCAGCTATACTGAATCTCATGTGACTTTAATTCAAATGGCTGAGAATGGTCATACTATACTCACTTGTACAGAAGGAGAAATAAGTAATAAGATTGAATGGTTTAAGGATAATAAAATATTAAATTATTCATATAGGTGAGGTTTACAATACATATGGTTAAATTGGCGCTTACCGTGTAAATTTTATAACGTCTTTCGTGCTTAGCATTTAACACTGCAAACTATGTTAACGTTAAGGCGCTAAGAATACAGCGTGTTAAAATATTACCTAGTAACTGTTTTCTATATCACGCGATTTGTACAACGATTATTTTAGGGCGCTGCACGATTAAATGCGTCTGTCGTGCACCCATACGCTTCATATAAATCAGCGCTTTAATATATTATCGAATTAATTAGCATTTAAACATGTTTAGTGTTTAGTTTAAGCTTTACAGGCGTTTGAACAATTTTTGTACACTGAAAATGTAGACAAGTTTGTAAATACTAATTTTCAATAACTGATTAGTAATACAGTGTCATTACAAATATTAGGAACGCTTGCTGCCATTTCGTCGCATTAAAACTGTTACTGTAACATAGTATTACTATTTATCGTATTTTAGTTTCTATGTAATTAGTTGAAGTGTTGGATATCAGTTTCCGTACCCGCAAATATCTTAGTTTATAAATTTCATAACATACTCAAAATTCTACCAACTAACTCTCTAGCCATAGCCATCTTAGCAAACTTTTCTTTTGGTGGATAAAGGAAAGTTAGCAATACTGCTGCCATATCCATAATCATCAGCATTGTTATCGTTCCTTCGTCGTTATCGAAGTAGTAAAATGTAACGAAATGCCATAATATCGCTAAGATTGCTTAGGCTTTTACCCTCTGGTCTCATATTTGGCCTTTATAAGTAAACTATCCTAACCGTTTCATTTTACATAAGTTATTTGCTTCTGGCACTTCGCCGGCCGCTTCCGTAGCACGCTCGCTTTGCTCGGTCTGCTCGGGCGTTGTTTGTCATACTTTAACTGAACCTATATTTTATACCCTCATTTCGGTTTCTGTTGCTATATTTATTACATATTGAAATGAAATGAAATGAAAATGTTTTTATTCAACTAAGCTTGTTACAAGCACTTTTGAATTGTCCAAAAATATTTTTTCTTAAAAACAAATCTACATCCATATAACAAAGTCAAAATCAAACATGGTTCCATACACTTCATGGCTTTTCTTCTTTGCCACCACTAGCCGAGGTTGAATAGCATGAAACGGATTTTGTTTTGTGTCGTGAGCGTATTCATCAGAACCATAACACGAATTTCGCCATGTAGATATTTTACTGTTACTGTTTCGGTCTTTGAGAGTAACATATAAATTTTGTGAGAATTTAAGATGTACATTTTAAAACGTAGTCCATTAGTCATAATGAAAATAGCTTATTTAAATTAAAAACAAACATCTATTTTAGAAATAACATGGCTAATAAAAAAGAGCCACATCTAACTATAGATGTGTATAACAATTTATGTGTACTACATGCAACTAAAAGTGAAGAAGGAAATTACTATTGTGCTATAAATGGTATAAAGATACGCGAGTATATTATTAAAATCGTTTCAATGGCTAAAATTCTGAATCAAGGTATAGTAGCTTGTCGTTAATTAATCACATGTCCAAATAAAATAAAATATACAATACAACAAAAAATGAAATACAATACAACTAAAAAGTTAACACATACTGCTCTAGAGCCGCCAACCGAATTGCGAAAAGTCGTGGGTTCGAATCCCACTTCAGAGAACTAGGGAAAAAGAAAAAGAGTACAGGCTTTTTAAGTGTTTTTCATTAAGAATACTTATTATATTTTATTTTGCAGATTTTATTCGATATTCTATGTACCTAGGATTTATTCTTTCACTAACAGTTACTTGTTATTGTGCTGGTTTATGTGTTGCTTGGCATCGTCGAGCATCATTCGCAGATCCTTTTAACCATCACGGTAATTTTCAATAAAAAAAAAATTGTTCAGAGTAGATGTCCTTAATATTATTCGGCGATGGAACGGAAGCATAATTTGAATAACTTTGATTAAGCGATTATACTATCTCTCTATTTGTAAAAGTAATTGATGAAGAGCCCTACTGTGAAGAGATGCAATTATGTTATAAAAATATAAACTATTCCAGTCTAAAAGTGTTTTAATAAAATTTAAAGTCATAGTGTTAATAAATGAGTTAACAGTGCTGAAAAAGGGTGCACTCACCTCACAACAACTTGGTCAGAAAGTGTAGAAATTTATGAAAGAGGATCTAAAATACGTTATCTACATGCCACTTGTAAGAACACGTGAAGCGATGGCTGGCTTATGCGTCAACCTCGTCAACGAGTGCTGCCAGTGGGGATGAGTCCGCACCTGACTACTTAATTTCGTCCAATTTCTTTTATTATGTATATTGTATATTGATTTCTCAATGAGTATTTATGACTTAGTAACCGACATATTAATCCGTAAGCGAAAAACATCTCACATTATCACATTAAGTCACAATCCAATAAGATTTATCTGTGTGAAATAAAACAGTGAGAAAAAAGCAGCCCTTGTTGAGTTTCTTGCCGGTTTTTCTCAGTACATGATCTCCTGCCGTAGTTTTGCGAACCGTTGGCATAATTTCCGGCTTTCATAAGTAATATATAATAGCCTAAACTGAATTTATTTGGATATTAATATTAATATTGTGGATTCATAATGCCACATATAGAAATACTGCATATAAAACAAACTGAATTCTGCGCTTCTCTTATTGTTCTTCATTCCAAACCTGAATTCGCATGAATCGAGTCAATTGAAGTTCCGAGGAACCAACAAGTTGGCTCATCACTAATGTTGACATTAGAAACAAATATCGTGCCTTTAAATGAATCGAAGTTTCAATTATTGATTATGTTACATATAATGTAATCAATTCTTTAAACAAACATACAAACAATTTCTTTAAATTTCTCTCTAAGAGATTATTATCTATATACTTACCCGATATGTATCAAATATACTAGGTATTCATACAAAATAGTATGACTGGCTAGAATGACGTTTGTGCAAAGTATAACGTGCAAATAAGTTATCCTTTCGAAATTAAGAATTAAAAAAAAACTATGATCAGTTATTTAATCTTATATTCATAATTAAATCATCTTAATAAAAATTCAGCAATCAACAAGAAACGTCCGTTCGAAACGAACAGCAAGATAATAACTTTTAATTTAAAAATCACAAAGATACCTAGGTACAGTTATTATACTATTGCTACTGAACTTGCATGTCGACGGCAGACGTCGGGGCAGGTGTTATGTTAATTCGTACGGTGGGTATGTCTTTTTGACGTGGATACGTCTCTGTTTTCGTTCTACAGGGGGGTCATTCTGTGAGCAGGAGCTTATGCACTAACGCCATCTATTGGCGTATAAGTGAACTATGCTTGCTCTGCAGGGAGAGGGGCATTCTGTCAGCAGGAGTATATGCACTAACGCCATCTGTTGGCGCTAGTGCATACTTTTTTCATTCAACAAATGAACGCAACGAATATTTATTTATTTAGTGTTTAGTGTCTTCAATTTGTTTATTTATTTTTTTATCAATTACTCATATATCCATTCATACATAGACGTATCCACGCATAAAATATGGCTGTATCAATGATACAGCCAACTAGGGTTTTTTTGGTTCTTACAATAATAGATTGACTTTCTACTCATCCTACTCTAGAAATCAGTTTTATTGAAATATATTACTTATTAAGTACCTAGAGTAGTCGTGCTCTTTAAAAATTTCTGCGGTCAAGTCGTTACGTTCCCTCAAATATAGTTGAGTGAAGCGATGGCTGGCTCATGCGTGAAGCTCGTCAACGAGTACTGCCGGTGGGGGTGCGTCTGCACTGGACTATTTAATTTCGTCGATTTTCCTTCATTATGAATATTGTGTATTGATTTGTCAATGAGTATGGAGGATTTCTGATATTGTAATAGAAAGTGACTTCACAGTCTAATTAAGTCACATTCCATTAAGACTTTTCTGTGTGAATTAAAACAGCGAGAAAAAAGCAGCCCTTAGTAACTAATTATAAATTCATTTAAGTAAAAAGAATGTACATAATAAAAGCAATTTATTGCATTAAGTGCATATTTATATATAACAACAAAGTTAACTATAATATGTAGTAGACTTCAGAAAATGAAATCAGTCTAACATAATGATAGTAGGTATTTGATTTCCTATGATTCCTAAAAAAATATTAATTTTTTAATCAGTACAAACAACCTTTTATTGAACAAAAATCAAATATTCAAATAACGCAAAAGATTAACCATTTTCTCAACCAGCACAAATTGTAATAATTGAGGAAGTATTTAAAAAAAAATGAAAGCATTAAAAAAGCATCTCTACTAGATGGCGACTCTAGTAAAAGTTGATTTTTGCTGGAAACGAATGGACCAAAGACAATAATTTCCGTTCCTTTTAACAAACATATTAAAACACTGAAATTTGAAAAGGTCGAATTTTAGATATCAATGCAAATACGAAAAAGTACAAATATAATATGAGTTGTTTATTGAGTTTTCAAAACTAATTAACTTTTAAACATGAAAGGTTGTCATGGAGAAATCAAGAACGTACGTAGCGACATCTAGTTTGATTTCGGAAACTAATCTTTGTTTTTTTTAAATACTTCCTCTAAGTTATAGCCGATGGTAAAGACGAGGCCGTTGAATATTAAAAAAAGTCAAGAAGACGTCAGTTTTTTTTATATAAACCAGAGGTTGCTACGAAACAAGTTAAAAGATTTAGAAAAGTTGTGAAAGTAGTTAATAAGCTAGGAATTTGGTTAATAAACATGAAAATTAAGTGCAGTGCTTTTGTTCTGTGTTTATTAGGATTTGTATTGCTCCATGAAGCTAATTGTAAGTTTACGAAGTAATAATTATAATGATTGTCGTGATTCAAGGTAAAGAGAGAGTGGCTTGAGGACTACAATGGTACAATACTTACATACTATTTGAAAACTCCTCGTCATATTATCCTTTAGCATTGTTACTGTTGCATTTTAGAAATCTAACTCAATTATAGGTAGTGTTATTTGGCTGTTGTTATTAAATTGCAAAATAATTTAACTGATAGGCTGAGTCAGTTATATTATAAACGGTGTCGAGATACTTGTTTTTATATTTACAAACATCAATTTCAGCATGATTGAATTTCTTTTTAATTCCTTCAATATTTTGTTTAAATTATTTCATGTCTGTCATGTAGTAGTCAAAAAGCTCATAAATTCCTGTAAGTTTGATTTAATACAAAATGTTGTATTATCCTAGTAATTTAATTGGTAAATGAAATTAGTACTGTTAACATATTTTATTATGTTTCAAAGTTATCTGGTTTTTTAACTTGATTGCAGATTGTATACCTACTCTGCAAATTAATGTAAAACATCCTAATAATTTTTAATTAATATTAAATAAAACATGAAGTCTGAATATCATTTTGTAAGTTGTATATGTCAATTAGGTTTGTTTCAATTTGCAGGTTTACACAAGAGATGTATGAGGTGTCGATCACGTGGTGAATTGGGGGCGTGTGGAGATCCATTTCCTTTTAATGTCACAGAACCTGATGCTGTTGTCGGAATCCATGTTGTTGCTTGCCCATCAGGATGGTGTGGAAAAATTATTGAAGGAACAACTGGTGCTTTCCGAACAGATGGTAAGTCATATGTATTTAGGAATTAGTTTTTGTTTTATGTATAAATTCATCTAATATTCCAGTTTAAAAATATCTTTATATATATAAAATTGCTTAATTTTTTTATCATTTTGAATAATATGGATTACTTTTCAACTATTGAATATCTGTCGACTTTGAACACCTTTGTCTATTTGATTTGTAGAAATTAATTGGATTATATTTATTTCTTAATATTTTTCTTGTTTAGGATGATTTATTTTACTTAATACTTTTATTGATATGTTTTACAGATTATGGTGCTGCAACCCAAAGGATGTGCATGCAGCGACCTCCGAGTGATTATGAAGAAAGGTGTGCTTACACAATGTGGAAACATAAAAAAGTTTATATGTGTTTTTGTAGTGGTGATCTCTGTAATTCTGCCTTTAAAATCTCAACATTCCCTATAACTGTGGTAATATCATTGATTGTTGGTTTATATAACTTTTTATAGTATTGTTGTTCTAATTCATGAGAGTACTTAAAGAATTAACTCCTCAGTCTCCAGGAATGGTAAATGTATTGTTTTTATTGTTCTCATCATACTTCTATAAATAAATCGAGTTAGTAAGCTGATTATACTTAAACAGCAATCAATGAACATAAATCAAGTAGAAAATTCCTATCAAAATTTAGTTAATTTCATATTTATAGATATCATCTATACATTATTTGCTATGATCTTTAGTCATTTAATTGAATTTTTTTATTGCAATAAGATGATGATTTTATGTCTTGACAAACATTATCATATTATATTAACTATAAGTGTTATTTCCATGATTTTATGGTTCATATTCACATGCTGAACAAGGTGCATGTTAATCTCTTCGGTCCCGTCTTTTATAGTTTGCATTAAAGTAAACATCTGGCAGGGGCTTGAAATAAAAAAGTGAGTAATCGATAATTATAATATGTAATAATTATAATAATATTATAACACTTCCATTGCTCCTGTTTTTCTTGTTATAAAGATAGATTACTGAAAAAAGACATTTATATTTTTATTGAAATTAACATACTTTTTATTCTACTGTTGATCCATCATTTGAATCTTTGAACTTATCTTTTGGTCTGGACTCCCATTTCAGTGGCGATTTTGTACAACTTTGAACCAACTGACAAACTGCGACCTTCCCTGTGGCCCGTATCGCGCGCATATGTGCAGGAGTAGTTAATAACAAGTAATAATCTCAATTAGAATAATTATAATTGTGATTTTTGAGCTTCATTTATTCCTTCCTATTTTACATTCCTCAGAAAATTGGTGAATGATTAACCCTTATTATTGTTAAGTATAATGTAAGTATTAAATATTATATTTAATAATATACAACACGATAACACGATAAGATTTATAAACAGTTAAAAAAAATGTTTTTTTTTACTAATGTCAGGTGAGGAAAACATTTTTTTGGAGATTTACTCACTCATGTAGATAGTGCAACAATATATGTATGAACTAATTCATACTATGTATATATGTATAGTTAGTTATCTATGAAACATAACAAAATTAGGTGCTGCAGGTCTATTCTCGTACTGGAAGTGTAAACGTTTGTGTACTTAGTAGGATAACAAATAAAAAAGTTTTAGGAATAAACAATGAAATTTATATCGATAAAGTATCCCCTATACTTATTAATATATTTCTGCGCTTCATATTATTTAAATTTTAAAAAATATATTTTTTTAAACTGTATGCATACTATAACAAACTTTATTTTTATCGATGTATATTTGAAGAACTTGTAGTTAAATAAAACAACTGTAGAGGTACTTAAGTTTTTTACTGTGTATATTCAATTAGTAAATAATAATAATCATGACTTTTTTTGAGTAATTTTTACACAAAAAGTTTTGTATAAATATATATTTTACTTTTGTAAAGAGGTATTGTTTTATTTGTACTGCTATGGCCGGTTATATGGCCACGTATGACGAATGCTGCCGAGGCGGTGGGGCTTGAGATTGTTATTTCGTCTCAGTTCTTGGTTCTCGAGTAGAGAAGCTATGTGTGGGATCTCGTGGAAGTAAAGTTCGCCGTGGAGATTGGCCTTTGTGACAGCTGCTATGGCTTCTGAACCTTCGAGTAAGTAGGGGTCGAAGCGTTCGCCATCTGGAAGTAGGTATAATCATAATTATCCTATTAACCGCTGCGGTATTGTCCTTTTCTGTAGAATCACCACAACTTACTACGCGGGCCCTGTACGGATTGGTAGTGCAGATACAGGCGGGACTACAGAGCGGGACCAACGGCTTAACGTATGATCTATGGAGTTTGATAATTTTTGGTCACCCATAATGATGGTCTTGCGAAAGTTTGTTAATGACTGATTTATATCAGTCCTATCCGTTTTTCTATGGAACATTTTCAATAGTTTACCAACCAATGAAACGAGCTCAGAGAATTCGATCAATAGGGCGGTATAGGTAAAGTAATGATATTCTACAAGAGTATTGATAGTATTAGTGCCGATAGGCTACTAATATACTATCGAAAGGCTACCAATATATATGTACTATTAATATGACGTCATAAGCCATAGAAAGATAGGTAACTTTTTGTTTTCGATATCCGTAATACAAATTATCTATATAGTCTTAAGACGTAATAGTTCGATGGCGTAGTGAATAAGCGCAGCGGAATGCGACCTTTGTTTTAAGCAAATTTCACAAGGATCGGTCACGGGATAGGTTACCAAAAATCATTATCTCGATCTACTCCGTGTTTCGGAAGGCATGTTAAGCCGTTGGATCCGGATGCATTTGCAGTCATTAATACCCTCCAATCTTCATTGAGCTAGCGTGGAGGCTCATGGCCCATCTTCCTTAATCATCAATAAGGTAGGCCAGAGCCCCTGCAGTGTGAACGTAAAAGGGCTGATGATGATAATTATATAGCCTGAAAATGTAACTAAGACTTGAGTATTTAAAGCAATTTCTGTAATGAAACAAAATTAATCGGTAGGCACCATTTATATCATCTGTGTCAGCACGCGAAATGGAATGTCCGAAGCGTGGTGGAGCGATCGGCGGCAAGAATAGACCTTCAGGCCACAACGATTCTGGATCGGGAGAATCCACTTTGTAGGGAGAAGGCGGCAGTACCGGTATTGATGTATCTGGCAAACAAATGAGGAAGTATTAAAAAAAAAACAGAAAGCACTAAAAAAAAAAACACCTCATTAGATGGCGACTCTGGCAAGAGTTGTTTTTGCAGGAAACAAATGGACCAAAGATCATTTCCGTTCAACATATTAATTTTAACTTACTAAATACGAAAAAGTACAAATAGAATGTGAGTTGTTTATTGAGTTTTGAAAATTAATTTACTTTTATACATGATAGAAAACCGGAAGGTTGTCATGGAGAAATCAAGAAAGTATCGTAGCGTCATTAAGTTTGATTTTGGGAACTGATGTTTTTTTTAAATACTTCCTCATTGTAAGAATCAAAAACTACGTCGTTTAGATAACAGATAAATAGGTACATAATAGGTTCGTTAACGATTTCGAGACTGTGTAATAGGTACTTATCTAATATAGGTATATTAAGCATTTGTGGTTTCGATAAAATAAATAAGTCTCCAGATGAAATACGTCATATTTAGACAATTGAGATAAAGTCTCCAAAGTTTAATGGTGGGGAAGTTTACATTTAAGATTCATGTACTTGGTATTTTGTTTTCGAATTGGGCTTGATAACACTTGTTGGTACAAAGTACCAACACTCTTGTCAGCCTCCACTGATGAGATCGACATATTTAGCGAACAAAATGAGTGTGGTTATTATATTTTTTGATTTAGAAAAGCCTTCGAAACTTCTCAAACAGACACTGTTTAAAGTCATGCGAGAGTGTGGGGTGGGGGAACCGCTGAATCAAAAGTTCGGCGATTACCTTACCGCGCGCTCATACCGCGATCCGGTGAGTTGCGCCTCAGGGCTCGAGATGTGGACCTGTGTTTTTTAATGCACGTGAATAGTTTGTGTGGAGTGCTGTGCCATTGTTCGTCGTATATGTTCGCGGATAACCTGTGTTTATTACAGATGCAGATGCAGTGGTTAAGTGGACGCATGACAATGGCATTGCACTCAATGCAGAGAAAACAAAACTTCTCGTAATTCACTCGCCCCACCACAATCTAGCGAAACTACTCCCTTGTGTGTTTGTCTGCGAGTTTAATGTTATCACGATAAATTCGATAATTGGAAATGTAAACATAATGAAAGAGTTGATAATGTAACGTATTTAGGTTTAAAAAAGGAAGAAAAGCTCTCTTGGTCGATTCATGGCGAATTATAGCCCAAGTAGCACAAAACACCATTATATCAAACTTATAATAGCACGAGTCCAAGCGTTAAGCATTATAATAAAATCGTATATCAACCGTATTTCTTTTAAACGACTCTTATACATAAAATTTGGGCCCCCCCTTTGTACGACTTTAAGCTTTATAAAAGCTGTGCAATAGCACTACAACTTTTGTATAATAGCATTAATAAAGTCGGGTAAAAGCATTCTAATAGCCACAAAAAGTTCAATTAGCACCTTAAAGTGCTAATTGAACTTTTTGTGACTATATTACAATTGATATGCGTAAATCAAAATTATAATACGTTAATTTAATATTATAAAAATGCTTACTGTTTTATTTCCTTTGTAAAAAAGTATATTTAATAAATTTTAAAAACATATAATCGGTTTAAATTATTGTTTTGTGTAAGTGTCATGACATGTTCTCTTGGCTGGTCTTTTAAGTATTTTTGAATATTGATTTAAACAGCTCGTTTTGTGTGAAATAAGCTGCACACATCAGTTTGTGGAGTAAAATATACAAGTTTATGGTGTAAAATACACGCGCCTTCGCAAACTTCCTTTAATATAATAAAAATAATAAAAAATTTAACCTAGTAGCAAAAATTTTTGTTGAATTTTAGGCTTTTTAGCATTGTTTTAACAACATAATTGCTTTTATAGGCATCTGTGCACAAAATAAATGATTATTTACCCCTTTTCATCTGACACAGTTGACTTTAAATATTTTGTAAGAATTGGAAAAAGAAAGCAAATGGCGACTCGTAAAATTAAAGCATTAGGTATTCAAATATGGTGTAGTAGAGCTGTTAATCGTATTATGGTTAGACACAAAACTAAGAGCTCGTAATTCATCGTATAACACACTCCCATTTTAGTTACAGCCGTATTTTTACACTTCAGAAGTATCTTATAGTGCTTATAATCATCAAACGATTATTTCATTTTTATTTTGATTTTTAAAAGCTTCAATTAAATTAGAATACTCTTTTTTCAGTTTTCATTTATATCCACCTGTTTTCTTTGTTATTCCCAACGTTTTTTGTCCATGGCCTGGATGCGTATAAAATGCCACCATTACAATACAATACATAAAATAATTTTACATTTTAATTTCACATAAAAAATAATTACGA